TACTTTTTGTAGGTATAGCCTCGGTTTTCTGGCCATTATTCTTGAGAAGACTTTCTTGAGAGCTCATTGTGTCAATTGTTGCATGTTCTTTAGTTTCCTCTTCCTTTGTTTTTGTTGGTGTAACCTTTTTTTCTGAGAGAGGAAGTGTAAAAGCCTTGTTTGGTCGTTCGGCCTCTGATGCTTCCAGGGCTCTTTGCATCTGGCAATTCAGACAAAGCCAATCCTTTACCTTAGTGGAAGAGCAAAAAAGGACATGTAAAATTAACCCCAATTCTATTGAAAATGTATTACAAATCACAACCACATGACATTGCATTAACTTAATTAATTATAATTGTAATTAAATTACAAAGACAACATTTACAATATTTTTGTAGGTAAAGAAATGAATGGGGCAGCTTAAATATAATAGCTATAAAATATTTGTACAGGTGTAGAAACAAACATTAAAATACATTCATCCTAATATATGACCTGACTTTTGTGAACTAAGAATGAAATAGCAAATTTACATAAAATTGCAAAAAACTACTTACCCCTGCTGCATTTGGTAGTGGATTAAATCCACATTGGTTGCAGGCTGTTGTTTTACATTGTGTGCATGTGTTGTAGTTTGGAGGGTCTTTAGAGCCAATGTTAATTTGTCCCTTACACAGTGGACAAACAGACTTATCTACTCCTAGAACATGTTGGACTTCTGTTGGTCCTTTCAAAGGCTCTGTTGGATCCTTATCCACTTTGGCTTGTCCTGTTTTTTTAATGGTGTCCTGCTTGAGCTGCTCTGTTATTTTCTGGTCAGTTTTCTCGACAGCAGTTAGCTTGGCATCCTTTTTGACCCCAGTTTTTGGAGAAGCTGGTGGAGTAATTTTTGGAGATGTACGTGCTGATGCTGTGGACAGTTTACGAGGAGTTGGTGGTGTAGTTTTAGACTCATCTTGGACAGCTGAAGTTATTAAAGTGGTTGCAGAACTCAAGAATGAAGATCCAAAACCAAACATTTTCCCTGTAACTGACTCAGTTGGTTTTTCTGCTACTGGCTGAGCTTTACGACCACTAAAGCCAAAGAAGCCTCCTGACTCCTGTTTTGGTGGTGGAGCTGTTACTGGTACAGATTTGGTAGGCGCTGTCACTGACTTTGAAGGCTGTTGGGGTTTCACTGCTTCTTGTTTTGAAGGACCCTCCTTTTCTTTAGATTGGGTAGTTTGGGGTAACTGCACGTCAGCTTGTTTTTCAACAGGCTGTGGCTGCTGTTGAGCTAAATCCTTGGGTTTTCCTTGTTCAGTACCTGGAACTACCTGTATACTTTTTATAGGTATAGCCTCGGTTTTCTGGCCATTATTCTTGAGAAGACTTTCTTGAGTGATCATTGTGTCAACTGCTGCATGTTCTGTAGCTTCTCCTCTCTGCGGTTTTGTTGTTGAAACCTTATTTTCTGAAAGAGGAAGTGTAAAAGCCTTGCTTGGTCCTTTTGCTTCTGGTGCTTCCAGGGCTCTTTGCATCTGGCAATTCAGACAAAGCCAATCCTTTACCTAAGTGGAAGAGCAAAAGGTGACAAGTAATATTAACCTCAGTTATATTGAAAACTTTGAGTGGAAGAGCAAAAGGTGACAAGTAATATTAACCTCAGTTATATTGAAAACTTTGCAGAATTTTCATCCACATGATGTTTACATTGACTTCAGTGCTGATTATTGTCTGCAAATTATAAAGAGATTGTTTACATTTCATTTTTTAAATAAAAAAACATACTAGTAATAAAATTTGTACAACTATAAAAATCTAATTATACTAATACATGTACACTGATGTATGACCAAAGTTTTTGTTAAAATACATATATAATAATTATATATTATTACAAAACAAAGAATTTACCTCTGTTTCATTTGGTAGTGGATTAAATCCACATTGGTTGCAGGCTGTTGTTTTACATTGTGTGCATGTGTTGTAGTTTGGAGGGTCTTTAGAGCCAATGTTAATTTGTCCCTTACACAGTGGACAAACAGACTTATCTACTCCT